TCTGTCTGTTGATTCTGACTTGAGATTTCAGCCTTTATATTGTATAAAAAAAATTAAGTATTAAGCCAAATATGTTACACAAAGCAAAACTGGGGCTTGTCTTGTTTCAGGTGCAGAAAGGATGCAATTGTTTTTGAGTGATCCTTTGAGAATTTGAATCTCCCAGACTGTTGGTCAAAACAGCAACTGTGCCAGTTGTCTCTGATTCAAATACACATCACTGCTTGGGGAAAGGAACAACTTGGTCACAACTGGGCCATCCCTATAACCCATCTTATTTTTTGAATTCCAGCTTCGTATTTTGACTATTGTAAAATCCTATTTTAATTGGGTACAGTGGTGTTGTCCTCCTTTCAACCCAATCTGGGCAATGTTTGCAATGTATTATTACATCGTCTTTCAGAAAAAGATTGAGCCCCTTAGATGTTTGGATTGGTTTAATCAGTGCCATGCATTTGCTTTTCGATTTTGTATCTTAATGACATAAAGCAATGCACAGGGACTGGAGAGTACTTGGATGCTTGTAAGCAGCTTGCTGATGATAACCCTTGAAGCTGAAGCAGTTAGTGCTGAACCTTGTACTTTTTTTCCAGTGTCTTCTGTATACCTACAGTCAAGATGCATATGGACCTTAAGGCACAGTTGTGCGGTGTTTTGTTTTTGTTTTTTAACTCTTCTGCAAATACAGTGCATCGAAGCATTCTTGTCGTGGCTGCCTCTTATCAGTGGTGGTACCTGTAGGCTAGTGTTGCTGCATTTTTGGATAAGTTGTTCTAGTTAATATCACTGCATCTTGCTGTTCTTTAAGAAAAAGATTCCTTCTCTGTCTTGGTACGGTGGTTGCTTAACATTATCAAATGTCTCTACCTGTAGAGGTGCAGAGGCAGTTAGGCAGAAGAAGCCATGTTCGTAACTCATGACATAATTCTCAAATAGTGCAGCAACAGTTGGTGGCCAGCATCTTATATTGTGCAGATCAGCCCTGAAAAAAGCCATCGTAGTTGTAAAATAGGTCCTTGGAATCCTGGGTCTTAACTGGGGAATAAGATGGGAAAAATATACCAACATTAAGC